GTGTGTGTGTGTGTGTGTGTGTGTGTGTGTGTATATATATATATATATGATATATGTATATATATATATATATATATATATATAATATATATATATATATGTCTGTGTGTGTGTTTGTGTATATACGTGTGTGCATGTGTGCGTGCATGTGCTGGGTGGTTGTGATATATCGGTCATCGATGCTGCGTCGTCACTGTTGGTCAACTCTCGTGGCTTTATCTGCACGATGAAACTGGGAGTGCAAGTACTAGAATACTCATGCTTATGTATTCGACTGCATCATTCCACGCCACACAGAACCAGCGGGATTTCTTGTGAAATCTAGGAGCGCTTTCCACAGAACCCCTACAGCAAAGAACAAGCCCGGGTCGGTATTTAGTCTGTTTGACAAAGCTGATACAATCACCTTCCAACAACCGCACGAAGTCAAGAAAGCTACAAGTGCTAGTAACTCTACTGCTGTGGGGTCTATTAAAGATGAGCACGTGTTTCAGGTATGGTTGTCAGTATTGCGACATGCAATAGTTTACGTACATAGCTGTTGAGCGGGCATTCTGGTCTGTAGGTACATGTTAGCTTCGCCGGTCATTCTGGTACGCTCTAATCTGGGCAATCGAACGGAGCCACTAAATCTATAGGTGCTGATGCCTCCACCGCGCTAAGCCTTGCTATGACTGATCACATATTTATAGGCCAAGACATGCATGCGTAGGATGTGTTCGTTCAAAAATTCGATACTACCTCTGTTTGAAAAATTACACATTAATTCGGAGCAGGTTCAGACTGTCCACTCTCCTTTACATGTCGTTTTGTGTGGTGGGCGTGATGTGATACGTATTAATAGATATCTCTCTATTGCGTGCATAGGAGTAGTAAATTTGGGCTCACAAGTGCAGGGTCGAATATACTACGAATGCCTCCCAGATATATAGGCTTAGATGAACTGTGGTGCGGCAATCAGTGCACCATATAAGAATGCTCAGCGTTTCCCTTCAACTCGGCACAATCCCTCAAGCGAACAACTGGAAGGTTCTGATACCAGCGGTAGATGCAATTTTCACTGAGATATGTATTGTTGCCAACAAAAAAAGAAATACAGAAAGCAAGACACTGCGTATCAAATGCCGAATGTATATACCACTGAGAAGGCAGACCACTCTGTACAGCGACCGTATCCATGTGCAAGTGTGTGCTGTCATGTCGCAACTCACGTTTACCTGTTCCTCTTGTCTTATCCGATGCGCGATGGATGACGACCGCAAAGGTGCCTGAGCCGCGCCCGCCAGCCGACACTCTGTGCGTGGCACAACCCGAATTGCCCAGGTAAGGGCGTGTTATACTATTGTTGTACATACTGATCTTTCGTTTATTGTATATATCAATGTTCTTGACAATACTTTTATTTATGTCTTGCTTAATAAGGTTAAAGCATCCTGAAATCTGCAGTAATCGTCATGGATGGGCATGGGCATTGTGCATAATGAGCTGATCCACTGGTCTGAGTCTTAGTGTGTGTAGTCACGCGGAGTGTGAAAGTACCCATATGTGTATGTAGCATCACTCTGATATTGACTTTGTGTTGATGCTATACATTTGCAAGCCTTGTACTCGCTCCAGTAGCATTCCCGATGGGCCCCATACGCATCCTACAACCACAGTTGCCCAGTAGATTGTGGTTCGCGATCCACTTTGGTGCTGTATCCGAACTCGCACAGGGGTGTCTGTAACGCATGGCAATTTAATGTTTGGCATATTTATGTTGGTCTGTAAATAGGCTATGTTCGTAGTGTGATATCAGTCTTGTATAAGATCTGTCACGATTGACAAAGCTCGAATTCTGTGTGGTAGATCCGTCTACGGTGAGAAGTGTTATGCTGTTGATGTTCGCTAACTTACGACTGTATTCACATCTTGCAGTGGACAGTCAACTGCCGCACTATGGCAGCGGGGGCCTGAACAGAAACCCTCCAACTCAATGGTGATTGATGGCGTTTGTTTTTGTTTTGCATTCCATTGTTTTGGGTTGCTCAACTGCTTGTGGAAACGTATTGCTGGTGCCTCAGGTTGTCGCATGGCTCCTGTCACGTGTGGCGTGTTTGTCATATTCAATGTGCGATATCATTCCGTTGTGTGTTGGTGAACGCATGCGTGGAGTGTAGATCTCATGATGTATCTGTTGTGTGCTTTGTCAACTGTCAAAGAGTGCAGGGGTTGAGTCTATTGTTATCTCAAGTGGTTTGCCCTGGCGTATGCTGTACTTGCTTTGATTTTGAGTCCGTATATCTAGCGTAACATGCATCAGGTGTGTCGTCTCCTGAGCCAACGGATTGCCCGCCACTCTACTGGCAGAGAGTTGTTGGTTTGCCTTACACATACAAAAAGAGTGACTATCACCTCCTGTTCTCCAGTACATATGTGCATTGGTTTCATGCTAGTGTTCGAGGCTTTCGATGCATATATACCACTCTGGCAATGTAACCTATCCTTGATGCGTACCGGATTATGTTGAGAGTGTGGTCCCGAAAAAAAGTCTACTGCTAGTGATATATATATAGTGCATTTTCTTGAATTTCCCCTTCAAACTTGGGCAATAAGGCGAGTGTATGCATAAACATATCGATTTCTGTTGTGCCCAGCTCTCTCCATTCCCAAAAGTTAATCTCTGAAAACTTTCACAATGTAAGCCCCCGAATTCCGCATTGTGCCGTGTGCCCGTACCAGGATCGACTAATTCAAATACAGTGAAACTCTCGACCAAAAAGTCACATACTGTACGACCTTTGACTACCGGGAAGGTCTCACTAATATATTCCTATTCTTTTCTATACAACCTTTGACTACCAGGCAGGTTCACTAATATATTCCTATTCTTTTTTGAAATCCTTACAGCTCTTCCTCCTTCCAAGTGCGAAGTCGGGGCCAACCTATCTTAGAAGACAACATGGTGAGATTTCGATTGCTGCCTCTAGCTCTAATATCTGGTGGTGTGCTCAAGTGATAAGTAACGTCTGCTGTGCTAATTCTTAATTTACAATGTATGTATACTCATACATGTGCATTTGTTTGTGTGTATAACCACTAATAATTGCTGATACTTCGTGATAGGTGCCACTCCTCGAACTCTGGCATTAACTAAGGCGATGGAGACCCCAGCTCCCGTGGCAATGCCCAGGAAACGGATGCGAAATTCTGTCAAATCACACAAAACAGTATGTCTGATGATTATACATCGCTGCTAGACCTTACCATATATGTGAATCTGTATACCTACTGTGAATACCCCTAATCCGTGTCGGGATAATTAGGTATCTCTTCGCCACAAGCGTGTTGGAAAGCTCGTCGGATACACTCATATCTCTGGAATGGTCGACATTTCCACACACTCGTTTGATTCTGATCACTGATGTGTCTGCCATCACAGACAGTGAAACCACCCACCGACTGGTCTCTTCATTCGGTTGCGAGATTCACCAGCGCACACAACTTCGAATGGTGCCGGAGATTAAAGAGTCATATACACGTATGTTATGCATTGTATGTAGTGTGTATGTGCTGAGAGTCTGACAGAAGTTATGGTGGAGACTGTATCCACTGTTGTGTGTGTGTGCATACAAAGTGTTGTGAGTGGGTATCCGATACACAAATGATCAACCATATATGTTATAATACGATACCACCTCCGGTTGTGTGCGTCATATCAACCGTATATGTTATAATACGATACCATCTCCAGTTGTTTGCGTCATATCAACCGTATATGTTATAATACGATACCATCTCCAGTTGTGTGCGTCATATCAACCATATATGTTATAGTACGATACCATCTCCAATTGTGTGCGTCATATCAACCATATATGTTATAATACGATATCATCTCCAGTTTTGTGCGTCATATCAAATATATATGTTATGATACGATACCATCTCCAGTTGTGTGCGTCATATCAACCATACATGTTATAATACGATACCATCTCCAGTTGTGGGCGTCATATCAACCATATATGTTGTGTGCGTTTTTTGCGTCGTCCTGAGTGTTGGTCGACAATTTTCTCGTGTGTATGTGCTTGTTAACTTGTCGAATTGCAACACGAGCGTCAAAATCAGCTCAGTCTGAAACAGTGCGAAAGCACAGGTATACGCCTACAGGTTCAGCACCCCACTCCGGCCGTTAGAGTGTCGAGTAATTTATATTCAAGAAGGGAAGTTTACTATAGTTGTGCTTGTGTTCACAGTCGTGGATTCGTCGGGTTTTCATAGCTAGGCCTATCACGTCTATCTCATTGCTCTTACGTTTTGGTGTGTTGTTGTCGCACTCACATACAGCCGAGAGGACTGTCCAATGCCCTTCGCTGTATCCATGATGAAGACCTCCCAGACGATCTGCTCCACTCCACGCCAGAGGTTCGTATTTGACTTGATGCGTATATGTGCTGCAACAAGTATCGATGGATGCATGCATCGGCGCACATCCACACTTGTGTAAAGATTTATGTGTCCAATGTCACCTACTTAGCAGAGTAGTGTGGTTTAGGGTTTTAGCTGTTACGTTTCAGCATAGAGATCAGTGTTCAGAACGCTACTGGGTGTGCTGCGTAAATCATAGATTCGCATTGCATTTAAGGGCGAAAATGGAGTTGCTGTGTGTGTATATCGTGAGATACCGGTGGTGATATGCTAGGGACAATTTCTTTAATATATATAGCTGTACAAACAGATACATTTATACTTGTTGATTTATCCTATATACATAAATGCAGAAGTACGTATACTACAATGAAAGCTATTTACGTTATTGAATTGGGTTACAAACGTAAAACGTAATTATACGAACTTTACAACACGCCATTCCAAGCTTTAGCGAGCTTCTGTATATTTTCCCCCTGTAAAGCAAGTCCACGATTCGTCGATATACACACGAATCCGACCGCCTCATCACTTACATACACAGCTGCAACCACTTGTGCGCACACATATAAACACACATACACGCACACATATACACACACATACACGCACACATACACACACATATATAAACACACTTAAACACACGCACACGCACACATATAAACACACATATAAACACACCTACACGCATACGCACGTTCGCATCTAGATGAAAAGTATCATCTTTGGCTTTGGAACATCTATCGCCTCGTGCACTCCACTACGTATAGCACTACCCAAAGTTTTGTTAGCTGGCGAATCCGGGCCTATGCTGAAAAGCAGAAGCCTGTGCAAAACTCAGATATGCACAATGTGTATCTGTAGCGTGCGTTGAGACCAAAGTTACAAATCTGAGTACCATCCTTCCTCACCTTCAGCCATGAGTTATTTTTTCGGACCTTTCAATGTGTGCATCAATTTGGCTTTGTTTGATTAACGAGAAGGTGATCATTCTCCCTACATCGCTACTTCATATTATCATCTACCAGTGTTACGTCTGCATTTTGTTTTGTCCAGGATGTAGTCAGCCTCCACGACCGTGCCTGTGCTGAGCTGCAGAAGGCCATGATATACTGGGAGTTCAACCCCCCCCACTACAGAGGAAAGCGACCGTGGGGATACCCAAACAGCTTTGTATGTGTGCGTATGTCCCAAATATATATATATATATATATATATGTGTGTGTGTGTGTGTGTGTGTGTGTGTGTGTATATATGCGTCTAGACGACTAATTTGTAGAGATAAATGTGTTAATTATATCTATATACGTCCCACTCTTGGTTTAGTATATTATAACTCTATGTGGAATTGGTGCTGCCTCTCCAACTGCAGTGAACGACAGCTAGAATTCAATACGCCGACCTGTTGTACTGCTTGATTTCTATTATATAGTTGGTGCAAACGGATGTGGTGAACGTCATGTGTCTTACATATATATATATATATGTGTGTGTGTGTGTGTGTGTTTTCGGACAATGTGTGTGCTGTTGTGCGTGTGTATGCGTTGTGTGTCAACACGATAAGTATTTTGTTTATGGTTACCTTGTTAGTTTTGTGGCTATTAGCTCCTTGATTCTGTGGGTGAATGCGTTGAAATGAGTGTTGTGCGGAAAACGTGTTTCGAAAGTTTGACCAAATTATCAGGGCGGTTGCATTTATTATCATCGTCGATTTTCCTGTTTGAAATTTTATTGCTTAAGGGTGTAAGCTATTTAAAAATGAAACATTTCATATGCGATATAGGTATATTGCACCCACTCGCGCGTATATCCGGAAACAAGTCTGCTCAAAAACACTGAAAACAATTCCGATTGCTCTACCGTTTTCCACGGCAATGCACACACCAAAGTCTGCACTGCTTTGGTTTTGGTATGTATTCAGATGTGCACCACAAGTGAGCGTACGATCCAATTGCCTCTAATACGAACTTCTCACTCCTATAACATTGGCCGGCCACCAGCGAGGCGAGTCTGTGCTCATTGTATGAGCAGATGCAAAGCAAGCTGTGTCCCTACTTCTACGTGAAAGCCAAGGTAAGGAAGGTTTGGTTTGTACAGCTATATAGACATGCTTATATGCCAGTATGTGAGTATATATAACCACGCCTATATGCTAGTATGCGAGTAATAGAGTATCATTGTATATACTCAAATACATGCTTTGGGTTTTGCGACAACTTACTCAATACTATGGCTATACGATGTCAGATTCATCCGATTTCAAATACACCAATACCTTGCACATTCATGTAGTTGACCTTGATGTGTCATACAAAATCCCCTAAAGCATATACTTCGATGTCGCGTTGGCATCCCAATACCAATCATACCTTCCGTCTGTACCATTCACATACCTCTCGAGCTAAGATCACTACCTGCACAATGCCACATACACTACTAATCGATTTGTTCTCATTCTCTGGCACGTCACAAGCACGCGCACACACACTGTTACCCCTCCCTCTGCGGAGAGCATGAGTGTGACTATTCTGTGTTGTTGTTTTTTCAGTGCTTACACTCTCTGTCAAGGGGCATCCACAGTATAACGTAGCGGAGAATGCGAGTGTAAGCCTCTATCCGTTCATCTCAGCTGTCCCACTCTCCTGTGTATAGGCGTTCACGATGTTGTTATTCTCACTCTCCTGTGCATAGGCGTTCACGGTGTTGTTTATCGGGGAGGAATTGGGTGGCTGTGCCCAACGGACTGCGCGGGTGTCGTCCTCTACACCTGGGCTGCGGTCGCTGCTGTCAGAAGAAGGCATCACCTTCCATATGCCCGTAAGTGAGGTTTGGGGTGTCACTGGACCAGTTTATACAATGAGGGCAATAATGCTCATGGGCACACCAGGGGTTATAATCGCTACCAGATTGGAAAGTGAGCATATGTTGGTATTGTATATTCTGTATGTTTCAATTCTGAAGCTGCATATATATTGAGCACAGATAGATTGGAATGTGAGCGTATGTTGGTATTGTATATTCTGTATGTTTCAGTTCTGAATCTGCATATGCATTAAGCACAGATACGTCGCACAGAGGAGCATGTTCACGCACCCGAAAGCACATGTGTATTCAGATCGAGATTTCTAGTCTCGCTCTCATCACAATAAGGCTCTCTATGCCGTACAAAACAGGTACATGATCCTATATGGTCACCAATGTATAGATACGATACGATTTCACCCGTGCTATCACACTATTGGTTTTTCCCGTGCAATGGCATTGTATACTATGGAGCGGAGTGTGATACGTGCGTATGTTGTGTGTATATGCATCTAGTGATAGTCCCTTGAAACATTTGTCGCACATGCATCACTCCTTTCGCTACTACTGCCGTGCAGTAAATTGCCTTCAATTGTCTATGGTGGTAGAGGTATTAGTGTTGGTGTCGTGTCTATCTGCGGACACTGTCAAATTCTTGGTATCAGGCACGTGTGTATTTGCACACTCACACGAAGTCATCGCTCCGAAACAGAGCATATATAGACGTATGTATGTATGCATATG